TTTTTTAATGAACAAAGAAAGATAGAAAAAACTATTACCACAGGGAAATGTGCTATCCTCATGATATAGATGAGAAAACAGAGGTTTTGACACTTAGGACTCCCAAGATCCATAAGTAAGTAGTGAGAGAATCCAATTCGGACCCTGTCAAATGTTCTCAGTACCCTATTAATCTGCCTTAACCAGGCAAGTGGCATGCTTCATTCATTATTGCAAACAGCACTGAGGCAACAATAATAAAAAGGATTTAGGCCTGAGACAGATTCCTTTGCAGGGATACCTTCTCTCTTCTGCCCAGGCCATAGCATGCTGGTTCTTTTAACCTGACCAGAAAAACTTACATCTCTCTGATGATGCTACTCTATGCAGAGTACAGAAGGGAGGCTATACACTAGGGCATGGTGGCAGTTTCCCCACTTCCAGGGGACCAGTTGTAGGATCACTGAAACTGCTGCTTTCCCCTCAACTAAGCATGATACTTAGATCACTGGAAAGAGACGTGCTCCTTCTTAGATGTAAGTCCCACCAACCTGGCCTTGAAGAGAACGTCTTTCTTTCTACCCCGTCTGTGCTCAGAAAGATCTTTTGAAAATTCTCCTAACACAGTTCAAGGTACCACTGTTTGCTAAAAAAGTCTTCAGGAAAGATAAAATCCTAACCAATACTACTAGCTTGACTCAGAGATGACACAAATACCATTTTCAGCTCTCCTGCTAATGTAGCTTAAGTACCATATCATTTCATGTGAAGAAAATTCTGGCTAAGCTAGGCAAAGAGGAGTTGGTAAGAGTGCCTGAGAGATTGCAGTGAACTCTGGAGTAAGCCCAAGGGCAAGAAACACTCAAGAGAACTGCAATCCCACTAGAAGTGTCACACTAGCACTCTGAATTACCACTGCTCCAGAACCATACTGCATGGTACTGCCTTTTTGTATCTTCAGGTAAACAATCAGTACCAAAGCTACTTACCCTCATGACTGTTACCACTGACACACTCTCCCCAAGCTGGGGGTGAGGCAGAGCCAGGCTTCCAGTGGGGAGGTCTGGTGAGCTGTTCATTAAGGTCTCTTCAATCACCAGGCTTGTCTGGTAAGGTTGGTGGCTCTCCCCTACCTCCAGGGAAGTCTCCTCTAGGAGCACATCCTGGCTGAGGATCTCTGAGGTGGCAATCTCCTGTACAGCACCTGGCTGGGTAAGGGCTCCCACCTCCTCAGCTAAGGCCTCCACAGCCAGGCACTGCTCTGCCATGCCTGCATGGCTGGGCACTGTCTCCGGGGCAGCGCTGGACACAAGAGGAGGTCCTTTGGGGGACATCTGGTTCTGAGCCACACACAGCTCTAGCTGAGGGCAGCTCCGGTCCTCCTGCAGGCTGCTCTTAGGGATGATGATGTAATCTGAGCGGGGTAGGATCTTGCGGAAACCTGGGATGTCCGGAACCACAGCGGTCAGTGCAGACAGCTTAGAGTTCTGCGGATGAGGAAACCAGGAAGGGAGAGACAAGCAGAGATAAATGGACTAAGACTACATGGATATATAGTTATTAGCTCATTTTTTTCTGTAAAAGGGACCTGAACAACTCTATTCTCTGGACCTAACGCAGATAGGGTCAGCCTCTGTTAACGGCAATGTCATCTTCATTTGAATCACACTTTAGCCAATGTAGCTTTTACTTGTTCAATCAGAAAGGAAACTGAGAACATGGATTGAACTCTGGAAAGGGCACTGACCTTGGCATGTGAAATGGTGAGCTGGAACCCAAGGTCTGGCATAGTCCTGAGCAAATCCTTTCCCTTCTTTAGGCCTCAGCTGCCCCATCCATAAAACAAGGGAGCTGAATCTGGCAATTTATGAGTTCCTTTTGAGCTCTGACACTTTAGGATTTCAAAGAAGCATGAGATTCAAACACCAGAATGTATTTTAAACCGCCCCCCCAAAAACCAGAAAACAATACAAGTCAACAGGCTAAGTTGGAACTCAAGGCAGCAAGTAAGGATTCTGACCTCACTGCTTTCTCCAAGACTTATAAACAAGAGGATGAACAGATCACAGAACCATGAAGGCTTCATGAGAAGGCTTTGTGAAAGAAGAAATATATACAAAAGAGGATACCTGATAAGGTCCTGAATATATTAAAGGGAAAAAAAAAAGAAAAATAAAAAGGATCTAGTATCTTCAGGTTGAGAAAATGTTTTTGAACCCTTTATACAATTTTACTTTAAAAATGACAATACTAAATTACATACTACTATTATTCCCATTTAACAAATGAGGAAATTGAGAATAAAGCTCAGGTAGATAAACTTTCCCAAAACACAAAATTAGTAAGTAGTAAAGCTGGGACTGGACTCCAGGCCAGGTCTTCTAAGGATGAAGGATGAAACACAACCCTGCATGGTTAACGGGCATCAAGAAAAAGTCATTTCGGTTTTTTCAATTTAAACTGAAAGTCAATTTAAACTGAAAGAAAATGAAAAAGTTCAAAGTGAATCGTTAAGTAAAAACTGAAATTAAATGGAAAAAAAAATTTCAGAAGCATCTTTTAAAGGAACACTAAAGTCAGTTACAAAAGGATCCTTAAATAAATCAAAAGCAAGAAGTCGATGAGACTACTTAAGGCACAAAGGAGGCACTCAGAAATGAAAAGTTAAAAGCAGCACTCAGATGAAACACTAAAGCATCTCCCTGAAGACGGGGATGGGGGGGTGGGGAAGAAACACTAAAGCAGACAGACCAAATCCTTTGTGGAGCCTTTATTGGAGAGGTAATGGGGAAACGACATTCTCAAGTGACCCTCTGAAGCAGACAGGTTAGGAGAACAAGACTAAATGGTGGTAAATACACATAGGACGGTCTGGACTTAACAAATCCAAGCACAGAGAAACCAGGATGGCCTGGAAGGCGCAACACTGGAACCATGGTTCCTGCACTTGGCAGGAGACCTGCCACAAAGGCTTTGACAGGCTCCCAAGGTATGTAGGTAGGAGGGTCTCACCTTCACACCAAGCAATCTGGGAGAGGTCAAATAAAGCTTCGCCCAGACTTGGTATGTTCCCGATGCTCAACATATGCCATCTTTCCTTATATATGGTCACTGGATATTTAATCTACCAAAAGGTGATATCTATTGACCAAGTCAGTACGTGCCAAGCATCAGCGAGGTGGTTTACATTATCCGTTTTAGGTAGTATTAGTAGATACGATTTGTATTTTACAAATGAGGAAACCAAGACTCAAAAGTGAAATGATTCTTCCAAAGTCACTCAGCTAGTTATTATCAGAGTTAATCTATTCATGTTCTTGGTGGCAATGGTAGAGACAGTGGTAGATACAAATCAGGATATGGATAAGGAAGAATCACTGCAGATGATTTAAACTTTTTTAGTCTTCATAAGGATCTACATTAGCATCTAGTTTTAAAAACCAAATCACTCTAAGAGTAGGTAACATTTTCTTTATCCTGGCTAAAAAGCTTGCTGATTTTATAATGGGGAAACCAAAGAGAATAGGTATTCTTTTCTTAGACTCCACTTCCCCTCCCCCACAGGGATTATTTCCCAGATTTGCTATTTATGAACAAGTCATCTAGCAAAGAGAGTAGAGTGGCATCTCCAAGACTGTAGGTAACACAAAGCTCTTCTAGGAAGAGGAATGCCAAGCCAGTAAATACAAAATAGTCTAAATGGCAGTGGCAGACAAGCTCCAGTAAGGGAAAATACAGCCTGTTGTGCTACAACATAGTTGTGTTCCTGAGGAATCTTTGCTCTACTTTATCAAAAAAGAAGTTAGAGACAATTGTTTCAATTGAAAAAGGCAGTTAAGGTTAAACTGCCTTTTGATTATTTTTCCTGCAGGAATTTCAGTTAAATAATTATCAGTATATTTTGTTATTCTGAACTAAAATGACAAAATGGCTGACAAACATAAATCTAAATGCTTCCTTGCTAGTTCTTTAATCCAAGCACTCCAAAGCCTCAGTCTCCTCCATCTCTTTGGCTTTAATCTTGCATTTCTGCTTCTACCATAGTTCACGACTGCCAGCAGTAAAAGAATGTGGTACTGTATTACACAAGCAGCTGCATCCACCTCTAAACATGCAAACATAATTCCTGATTATGACTGACAGTACAACACCAATTAATCACATTACATTTGTAACATGAAAACTCATGATGTAGGAGAAATACCTATATAAGCTACTGTATTAAAATTACTCTATTAAAGATACTGTATTAAAGGTACTACTAACTACCCACAAGAATAAGCTCCATATACCCACAAGAATAAGCTCCTAGTTATGTTGGTAAAATTCAGAAAAGGAATCCAAGGCTTACTGCAGAGAACTCAGAAAATGTCAGCTTAATGTATTGCTACAACCAAAGAGGACAAGAGAGTACAAGGGGATCATCAAGAAGGAAACAGGCAATACCAGACTCAAGAAACACAAAATGACAAAAGTTTTCCCAAGAAAACAAAAAGCAATAGGAGAACAGGGGGGTTGGTCTCCCCAACGCCTTCACCATTGAACCAATGGGAAAAGCAGCTGGAAAAAAAATTACTTACAGGATCCAAACCTTCTTTCTCTAGTTTGGCTTTCTCCAAGTAGTAACTTCTCTCGGCCACGCTGAGAAGCCTCCAGCTCTCACTTATCTTCTTATTGATCTCAGACTGAGGAAGGTGGGGGAGCTCCTGCTGCACTTTCAGGTAGATGTCGTAATAGTACAGAAGATAAGCAGACCTGAGGAAGCAAGGACTTCTTCAGGCTTTCCCTTATACAACCAGTTAAGTACTACAATGTTAGGGTTTGGATAGTCAAGAGGCTGATACAAAACCAAGCTTCTCATTTCAAAGCATTTATCTAAATAGGGACTGAAATTCAAGCAAAGAAATTAAAATAATATCCCCAGATGGTATTTGGGAGGGCAAAATGGATGGTAAAGACAGCAAGTGGTTTGCTGTTTTCCCTTCAGAAACCTGGAAGCAAAGGCTCATCTGGTTTACTTTCCCACAGATCCTTTTTCTGCAGGAATAATTGGCTTTTAAACCCAACATATGTAAAGAAAGATACAAATGTCCTCTCACTCCACTTTCAGGGAAAGCTTAATACTCAGGGGGCTGATTACTCAAAATGGTTATCATTCACACTCTTTATTCATCTACCCGGCCTTTGGTCATCGAACTGGTCAACAGCAACTCCCCAAGGCTGAGAGAGGAAAGCAAGCAGAATTATCAAAATGACCCAACGCTGCTGGCTTCAGCAAGAAGTTTGGAGTGATCACAGTCAAGAGGGAGATTAGAGCTACAATGTGGACATTCTGTATAGGTATCATTGGTGCTATTTTCTAATTCTGTAATTAATGCCTTGTTTTAAATATTTAAATAACAATGGCATAATAAAAAATAATGTAGCTTTTTTGTACATAGCTTCTACCATCTCTGTATGGTGTGATTTCCTGTGACACCCTGGCAACAAAGTCTGGTCAGGAATGGCAAATGCTGGCATAAATCTGGCCGCTTCCCGCTCCCCATTTCTCTCTTCCCCCACCTCACTCTGAGACTTCAACTATTATACTCTTTCCCCAAGAATCTTAGAGTCCTGTGTGAAGACTCTTCACACAGTTTTCTAAGCAGCTTCTGTTTATAAATGCCAGCAGCAACCAAAACGTGTTGTCTAACCTGGGTTTCTTGGCCTTTTCTCCATGTATTTTATACTTTTTCTTCTTCTTGGGTGGCCCAGGGGAAGTATAACAGTAGGCTTCCTCAATTTCCTCCATCACGACAGTTACCTCAGTACCATCATATGATGCATCCATGGCTAGAGGAAAGGAAAGTCAAACACAAAGTTTCAAGAATCTACCCTAAAAGGGGCAGCAGCCTCCTGGATCCCTTACCTCTGCCAGGGCCTTAAAGCTTAGCCATTTCCCAAACCCAGCAGATCCTAAGAAGCACCTGGGGTACTAGTCAAAAGTTCTGACCCCTCCCTCATATATTTCATCACCTTAAGCAAATAGCTTCACCAATTCATTCAAACATGTAATAAGTGCCTATATGTTAGAGATTTCTTTATACACTGCTGGCCTGTGCAATTTTGGGAAGGTCCTTTAGCTGCTTTAGGTTCAGTTCTCTCTCTTATATATTAAAAAAGAGACATCTCACCCACCTTCCCATAGATTTATAATGGTAAGACTCAAAGGATATAACACACACACAGAGCTCTATTTAAGAACAGTCAAGCGCTATATAAATAAAAGGGTTCATTTTATATTAAAGATGATTATCTGTGGCTGAGATGCTTAACAACCTGCCCAAGACCAGCAGGCCCAAATAGGGACTTGGGAGATAGGTTTTTAATTCAAAAATTGAACTCTGGGCAGAGCGAGGTGGCTTCATGCCTATAATCCTAGCACTTTAAGGTGGGAGGATCGCTTGAGGTCAGGAGTTCAAGACCAGCCTGAGCAAGAGCAAGACCCCATCTCTACAAAAAATAGAAAAATTAACCCGGCATGGTGGTATTCACCTATAGTCCCAGCTACTCAGGCGGCTGAGGCCGGAGAACTGCTTGAGCCCAGGAGTTTGAGGTTGCAGTGAGCCATGATAACACCACTGTACTCTAGCCCAGGAAAAAGAGCAAGACCCCGTCTCAAAAAAAAAACAAACAAATTAAAAAAACAACTCTGGGTCTTCTTTCATTATGCCATACTGTTACCCATCTCTACTGGCAATGCTCTGAACCAGCACTATTAGTAAACTCTGTGATGACAGAAATGTTCTACATCTGTGCTGACCAATATAGTAGCCACCAGCCACATATGGCTTGAAATACGGCTAGTGTGACTGAAGAACTGAGTTAGTTTTAATTGCAATCAACTTAAATAGTCACATATGGCTAATGGCTATGGACAGAACAGGTGTAAACAGTAACCAGACAGACTGATATTAGCTCTCATGTGCTGGCCTATAAAAGAAAGAGTCTACTAACAGCTTTTATGTCTATAAAAAAAAAAGGCATTAAAAAACTTAATGACATACAATGGAACGGACTCTGAAAAATATGACCAAAAAAAAAAAAAAAAAAAACTTAATGACTAATTCAAGAAGGGCTAGTTTATTTGTGGCCAAGTTCTAAGTTGGAGTTCTACCACAAGACTCAATCCTTGGCCAGGTGTGGTGTCTCACGCCTGTAATCCTGGCACTCTGGGAAGCTGTGCTGGGAGGATTGCTTGAGGTCAAGAGTTCGAGACCAGCCTGAGCAATAGCAAGACCCCCATCTCTACTAAAAAATAGAAAAATTAGCTGGTCATGGTGGCATATGCCTGTAGTCCCAGCTACTGAGGGAGGCTGAGGGAGGAGGATTACTTGAGCCCAGGAGTTTGACATGGCAGTGAGCTATGATAACGCCCCTGCACTCTACCTGGGACAACAGAGTGAGACAGTCTCAAAAAAAAAAAAAAAAGATTCAATCCTTGGAGAGAGAAAGGTTCCCAGAAACCATCTGAATTTTATCAGAAGGAAATAACATAGTTGCTCCTAAAATCTGTCAGAAATGAATTTAGGATTCTGGGAAGACAGAGTTGTGGTAGTTAAACACAGGAATATGTGTAGTACAAAGCCCACTCACGTCTCATTTAGACCCTACTCCACAAGTGATAAGACGTGGATCCATGTCTAAACTCTAAACATGATCTCAGACAAGTCTATTTCACACCCCAAATTTCAGTTGTTTCTACTGTGAGATGAAGAGGGTAAATTTAGTGGCTCCTAACCTTTTGGAAGGCAAGAATTCTTTTGATGATATTGTGAAAGCTTAGAACTTTCCCCTAGAAAATGCAAACACACAGTATTTCACCTATAATTTTAAAGATATACTCCAGGTTAAGCACACAGTAGTCCTAAGGTTCTTTCTCATTCTGTGTCATCTCCAAATGATTCCTCTTTCCATTAAAAAAGAAAAGAAAAAACACCTACATTCTAACTGTCATAGCACAACCCAGGAAGAGAACAGTCTGCAACTTGGCTGGGGGTAAGCAATAGGCTGGTAAAGGATAAGGGAAGCTGGAGTCCAAATTAAGGCTACGTGGGGACTGTGCTCTTTTGCCCTTAATTGACTTCTCAGCCCTTGAAAGCCTTGTGGAGAAAAACAGTAACTGCAGAAGAGCATCTATAAAGAATGGCAGACAGGGTTTTAGCACTCGGAGCAAAACAAGTTAGGAAGCAAAGTCATTAGAACTACTTTGGGTTGGGGGCAGGAAAGACCACCCTGGGGCTTTTTTTTGTTTTAGTGCCCTATCCTAAGCCTGGGTCCAAGTTTGTTTTCAGATCCTAGACCTCACCACAGCAATGCAAAGAAAGGACAACATAAAGGTTAAAACCAAGGGCTCTTTCAAGCCAGCTATGGCTTGTTAAAAAGAAAGAAAGAAAACAAAAAAACCAAGGGCTCTGGAAGGCAGAAGATCTGGGTTCTAGTTTAGGCTACATTGCTTAACAGCACCAGCACGAAGCTCTATGACCTTAAGCAATCTACCTACCCTCTCTACGTTTCAGTTTTCTTATCTGTAAAACGGAGTTAAGGGTAGTATTTGAAATATGCGAGACACTTTGTACAATCAGGTCCTTCTCGGAACCTCATGAGATGGCCTTTGACGGCTCAGCCATGGACTACGGTTTGACTCTGGCTAGTTCCTCTCCCTCTCTGGGTCTCGAATGTCCTATAGTGAGAGAAGGAGGAGGACACTAAGGCTCACTGGTCCTACTTCGTGGAAGAGGCAACAGAGGCTCAGAGAGCCGCAGCACCCAGCTTGAGGTCGCCCAGCGGGTCGGCGGTGCGGCGTGGCCCTCGAGGGCGGGACTTACCCAGAGGAGCGTACAAGCCTCGCGGCTCACATTCCCGGAGGCGCCCGGCCCTGGGGCTCGACGAGGGAGCTGGCGGGCGCACTTGCGCTCCCCGCTGTCGTCGAGAAGCGGCTCCAGTCGTGACAGCGGCAACAAGGAAGTGGAGGCGAGGGCTCGCGCGCGCATCCCGGGGGCTGGAGGAGCCCCGGCCCCGCGGCCCCGCCCGGAGACACACGGCGCGGAGTCGCGACAGTCCCTCTCGCTCTCCCTCCTTGGAGTCGCGATATGGAGTCGTGAAGGGCAAGTGTAAGAGCACAGGTTCGTTCCGCAGGCTCCTCACAGACGCCTGCCGAGGGCCCCGGGGGTCAAGCCCCGGGGAGCTCGAGGAAGACAGCAAGAAGACGGGCGTCACCACAGCACCGGTTCGGAGGCGGCAGCAGCACACCACAGATCGCCAGGGAGACCCGTCCCAGCGGCCCTCGCGGCGCACCGGAAGCGGCCAGCGGCGCGTGACTGCGTGCGACCCCTCGCGCAAGCGCAAAGGCCCAGCCCCAGCTGGAGGGCGGCCCATAGGAACTGCATAAAGGCTTGGAGTGGGGCTGCTAAGGCGAACGGATTGCTTCCGGTGAGAGGTCCCGGGCGGAGGAGGAAGCTGTGGCTGCCGGCGGTGGGACGCCCCGGCCGCTCAGCCCCCCGGGCACTGCTGTGGGGCGTTCAGGTAACAGGGGCGGGGCTGTGCCGAGCGTGAGGGGTCAAGGCCCCGCCTCACCTCTCAGAGCCACGTCGGGCGCTGGGGAGCGTACAGCACCACCCTTTCCGCAGCTCGGCACTCAAGGCCTGACCCCGGTCGTCGGTTTGTCCCCGCTCATTCAGGATAGGGCTCATAGTGCTATTAATACATCAAGCCCCCCTCCTCACTCCAGTGATCTGCCCTCAATCCGTCTCTACCACTGTCCCACGGATAGTAATGGTAGTGAGTTCCTGGAATGACTCAAGCTGAGCTGAATGACTTTGGAGAAGCTCCAGAAATCAGAGATTGGATTGTCCTTCCCGTCGATGTCACAGATTGTCCACATTTGTACAAGTTCCTATACGACCTTTCACTATGTTGCAAATACATTTCTAATCTGCCTACATCTTTCCATCTATCGCTGTCACCATCCTCCGCCTAGCCACCATCATTTGTCTGGACTGATGCAGTTCTGCCCACTCTATTCTTGTCCTTCAACAGTCTATTCTCCACAAAGCAGCCAGATTGATCTGTTTGCACTGTAAGTCTGATAGGTCACTTCCTGCTTAAAACCCTCCAGTGTCTCATTCACTTAGAATAAAATTCAAACTTACTAGCTTGACTAAGACTTTGTCTGGTTTGGCTCTTGCTTCATTCTCTGTCCACGTGTTCTCTCAATATGGGTTCTCAGAACAAGCTATATAGCATTCCCTAATGTTTAGAGCACTGGCTTTGTTGTGTGCCTCCTTGGGTTTCAATCCCAACCCTGCCACAAATAAGTTATATTAAACATGTAAGGTGCTTAACAAATCATGGTTTTGCAGTAGATCCTTCCATCTCAGTAAATGTCACCACCATCCACTGGACTGCTCAGCGCTCAAACTAGAAATCTGGGTCTTAGCCTTGATTCTTCCTTCAGCTCACATCCCGTCCATCAGCAAGGCTCTCCAAAACATAGCCCCAAACTAACTACTTCTTGCCATCTCCTCTATTACTACTCAAATCCAAGCCACCATTATCTCTTGTCTGGACTCCCACTTTTTCTGTGATACTCTTCAGTTCTTTACACAGCAGTCATCTCTTTCTCTTTGCTTAAAATCCTTCATTAGCTTCCTGTTGCACCGAAATAACATCCAAACTATATATGGGCTACTATGCTAGCCTGCTTTTGTCTTCAGATACAGTGCTACCGCTTAGGAAAATGGACTTTTCCCATTAGGTTCTCCATCCTGCAACCAAAGGACTCTTTCTAAAGATCATGTCATTCCAAAAAAAACAAATAACCTCCAAAGGCTTCTTAATGCCCCAGGATCGAGCTAGAATCCTAATGAGGACTTTCTGTGATTTGGTCCCTGCTTTCTTCTCCAATGACTTAGTTTTTCCTGACTATGATATTTTGTTTTCTATAGTACTTCACTACCTTTGATAGTACATATTTCCTTACATCTCATTAATTCCTATTTGTTTATTCTTTGATAGGAATAACCCCATTTGATTAGCCACACTTCTGTGTCCCCATAGTACTCTGCAACCTCTGTTATAGTATTTCACACACCCTAGTGTTTGTCTTCCCTGCTTCCCTGGTAAGTTCCTCAGTGGTGGGCACTATGCTCCATTCATCTCTGTATGGCTGGCATCAAGCACAGTGCTTGAAACATAGAGGACACCATGAATGAATAGATAGATGTGTGGAGGTAGTGGTAAAAACTTGCCCTTGAAAATGGACAGCATAAGTTCACAGCAGCTTTCTTGTCCCTTGAGGACTCTCATGATAAAATGCCTAAGAAGGCAATTACCAAAACTGCTACTGCTGAATCGTGTTTTGTTTGACTAGCCTTGGGGGCAGGTGGGTTGTTTGTTTATTTGAAATTCTTAATACCTCTAGACAGGACAAACAGACCACAACACTCTTCACATACTTTATCCCTGTTTAACTCACTTGTGCTACCATCCTAGCACCTAAAACCATTTGACTTTGGAACACCTATCTAGGGCCCAGTATTTTCATCTGGAAGGGACCTTAGGGATCATGGTTTACAACCATGGACATACCAGAATCAGTCTGAGAGCTTTTCAAAAATATGTTTTCCTTACAGAGAGTCTCATTCATTCAGTCCTAAGTTGGGCCTGCATGTCAGATTCTGATATGCCTGCCCTGGTTGAGTCTAACCCCTTCATTTTAAAATGAGAAAACAGACCCAGAGAGGGACTATACCTTCCCATCACTCCTGCCATCATGTCTCACCCAAATTATCAGCAACGGCATCCTAATATTGGTCTCTTTGCCTCTTTGATGCATTCTCCACCAAACAGCTGTAGTGATCCTTTTAAAAATGCAAAACAGAGCATGACCCTCCCTTGCCCGAAAACATTCAGTGGATTTCTGTTGCGCTCAAAATAAAATACCAACTCTTTCTTGTAGCATCATTGGATGGTCTAGCTCTCCACCTTTGTCATTAACACTTGAAGTCATGCAAATATTTCAGTTCCCTAAATACCTCAAGCTCTTTTGCTGATACTATGTCCTTTGCTGGACTGCCCTTTCCCCCTATTCTTCATGGAATCTCAGCTTAAATGCTATCTTCTTAGGCCATTCCTGACTACTTTTTGTAAATAGATCTTCCCCTTTTATTGCCTATAATAGTCTGTTTTATTTCTTTTATAGCACATAGCATATTCCATAATTATCTATGTGTTTACTTACTATCTCCCGCACCACACTTTATATTTCATAAGAGTAGGGACCTGACTTTGTGGTCCATTACTGTATCCTTACCACTTGGCCACTGTAAATGAATGTATGGCTACCAGAAACATCTTCCCACAATGAAAATCTTTCCAAGCCAGATGGTGGTAGAGCTTTGAAGATCTCATTTTGGTGGAATTTCAAGCAGGACCATGGACTGGCAGAAAAAGCACTAATCTAAGTCAAGAAATCTAGGCTGTATGAACCTGGGTTGGCCCCTTGCCTGGGCCTCAGTTTCTGTATCCATAAAACAAGCTAGGTAATAACTCCTTGAATTTATATAGTGCATGGCTATTTGCAAAGCTCCGTTACCGCCTTTTATTTCAATCTATTCTCATAGTAGGGAGAGCAGACATTGTTATTCCCATTTTTAAGGAGGCTCAGAAAGTTTAAGTGAACTAGATTATCTATACAATCCCTTCTTATAGATAAGAAGTGCTTAAAATATTTGGAGTCTTCATAAGTAGTCTCTACAAAAAGTCAGTAGTGTGAATCCTGTCTTCTTTTGACTTTGACCTTATATTATCATTTCCTAATAGGATTTTTAAACATCTGAACCCATCTTTTAGGGGGAATCTATTATAATCTTTGGTTCCTGATAGGTATTCCATTTTGTCTTCTCAGTTTTCCACACTTGGGGCAAAACAAGCTGAGAGAAGGCACGGAGACAGACCTGTCAGTTGTGGCCCAGCCCTCATTCCCGGGAAATGGCAAACAAAGGCAACAAGAAACGTCGGCAGTTCTCCCTGGAGGAGAAAATGAAAGTTGTAGAAGCTGTAGACTCAGGCAAGAGGAAAGGTGACGTGGCAAAAGAGTTTGGTATCACTCCTTCCACTTTGTCTACATTCTTAAAGGATCGTGCCAAGTTTGAAGAAAAGGTTCGGGAGGCATCCGTGGGACCCCAGCGGAAAAGGATGAGGAATGCTCTCTATGATGACATTGATAAGGCTGTTTTTGCTTGGTTTCAAGAAATCCATGCCAAAAACATTCTTGTGACTGGTTCTATCATTCGGAAGAAAGCACTAAACTTGGCCAGTATGCTTGGCTATGACAATTTTCAAGCAAGTGTGGGCTGGTTGAACAGATTTAGAGATCGCCACGGAATTGCTTTGAAAGCAGTCTGTAGAGAGGATAGTGACAGGTTAATGAATGGTCTAGGAATAGATAAGGTTAATGAGTGGCATGCAGGGGAAATTATAAAACTGATTGCTGACTACAGCCCAGATGATATCTTTAATGCTGATGAGACAGGAGTGTTTTTCCAGTTGCTTCCCCAACACACACTTGCTGCTAAAGGGGACCATTGTAGAGGGGGCAAGAAAGCAAAGCAGCGGTTGACAGCACTCTTTTGTTGCAATGCTTCAGGGACTGAAAAAATGAGACCATTGATTGTTGGTAGGTCAGCCAGCCCACGCTGCCTCAAGAACGTCCGTTCCCTCCCTTGTGACTACCGAGCCAACCAGTGGGCATGGATGACGAGGGATCTGTTTAATGAGTGGCTGATGCAAGTGGATGCCAGGATGAAGCAGGCAGAACGCCGGATCCTCCTGCTCATCGACAACTGCTCTGCTCACAACATGCTTCCACGCTTGGAAAGGATTCAGGTAGGATATCTGCCCTCAAACTGTACTGCTGTCCTGCAGCCACTGAATCTTGGGATAATTCATACCATAAAAGTGCTATACAGGAGTCACCTTCTAAAACAAATCCTCCTCAAGATCAACAGTAGTGAGGATCAAGAAAAGGTAGACATCAAGCAGGCCATCGACATGATTGCTGCAGCTTGGTGGTCAGTCAAGCAGTCCACGGTGGTGAGATGTTGGCAGAAGGCAGGCATCATCCCTATGGAATTTACAGACTCTGATGAAGAAGTAGCAGCCAGTGAACCAGACATTGCCATCGAAAAGTTGTGGCACACAGTGGCTATTGCCACCTGTGTCCCAAATGAAGTAAATTTCCAGGACTTTGTCACTGCAGATGATGATCTCATCATCTCCCAGGAGCTGACAGAGACAGAGATCATCCAGGATATGGTGGCTGGTGAAAATACTGGTGAAGCTGGAAGTGAAGATGAAGGGGCGGTATCTTTACCAGAGCAGTCAAAAATCACCATCACAGAGGCCATCTCAAGTGTACAGAAACTTAGACAGTTCCTTTCCACTTGTGTAGGTGTTCCTGATGCCATTTTTGGACAGCTAAATGGCATAGATGAATATTTAATGAAAAGAGTCACACAAACTCTTGTTGATTCCAAAATTACAGATTTCCTACAAACAAAATAATGCAGGAATTAACTGCCAGTTTTACTTTAGAAAATATAGTTCATAAGAATAAAGATTACTTTAGATAGGATATTGAATTAATTTAAGTAAAGCAATATTATTATGACAACATTCCAGTACTCTGAAATAACTAGGAAATTTCCTTGAATGGAACTTGACTAATATCTATGTTCTCTCACTCTCTTTTTTAAGAGACGGGGGTCTCTTGCTATGTTGCCCAGGCCAGTCTCAAACTTTGCCTGAGGCAATCCTCCTGCCTCAGCTTCCAGAGTATCTGAGAGTATAGGCACACACCACTGCACCCAGCTACTATGGTCTCTTTTGATTAATCCAATGGTTTTCAAACCCATCTGTGCATTAGGATCACTTGTGAAAAATTCCAAAGCCCAGGCCATATCCCAGACCAATTAAATGACAATTTCTGGTGATGGGTCATAGTCATTAGTTTTGAAGTTCCCCAGGTGATTCCATGTGCAGACAAGCTTGGAAACTATTGTATCAACGACAGGAAAATCAAGTACACTATGGGCCTGGATCCGGCTTCTTCCCAATAAGTCTAGTTAAGTGGTTTCCAAACTTTAGCTCACATCAAAATCACTTGGAAGGCTTGTTAAAACCTGGGTCCCACCCCCTGAGTTTCCGATTCAGTAGGTCCCAGGTGGAATCCAAGAATTTGCATTTCTAACATGTTCCCAGCTGAGGCTAATACAGATGCAGTCCAGGATCCATACTTTGAAAACCACTGGTCTAGCTGAATTCTAGCACTTTTTTCTTCAACTAGCCATCCAAATACTCCTCATCACTAATTATTATTAAAAAAAGGGGGGGGGCAGTGAGGATCATCTCTTCTGTTGATTTGCCTGAAGCACAAGATTTTTATTTTTTTTTAGAGATAGAGTCTTGCTATGTCATCCAGGTTGGAGTACAGTGGCTGTTCACAGGCAGGATCAGAGCTCACAGCAGCCTCAAACTCCTGGCCTCAAAGGATCCTCTTGCCTCAGCTTGCCGAGTAGATGGGACTACAAGCACGCACCACTTTGCTCAGCCTTACAAGACGGCTTTTTGTTTTGTTTTGTTTTTTTGGAGATAGGGTCTTGCTCTGTCACCCAGGATGGAGTACAGTAATGTAATCATAGCTCACTGCAGGCTTGAACTCCTGGCCTCAAGTGATCCTCCCACCGTAGCCTCCCAAATAGCTGGGAGTACAAGCCTATGCCACCACACTTGGCTAATGTTTTTTCTTATTTTTTTAAGAGATGGAGTTTTCTGTGTTGCCCAGGCTGGTCTTGAACTCCTGGCCTCAAGTGATCCTCCCAGTTAGGTGGGATTACAGGCATGAGCTACCATGCTGGCTACAAGACGTTTTAATAGTCCTATCATTAATAGGAAGCTGGAGTACAGGGGAAAACAGTGCATTAAAGAGGAGACGTGGATACAGTCTGGGAGGGAGGATACAATAACAGGGAATGCTGTTAATCAGGATCATGGGGGAGAACACACAGCCCAGCAGGCCTCTCACTTTCTATACAGGGTGAGAGGAAAGTTCCCTACAGAGACCACATGCATGAGAGTGTTTGGATTATTCCCACTGCTCCTCTCAGCACCTGTGGATAATCCAGCCTGTACCATATAATATCAAGATGAGGGCACACTACATTTGCCCTACACTAAAATGACCTCTTCAGTCACCTTTTTTCCTTTGTGTTTGGTCTTCAGAGAAATCTGCTAGAGTTGATTTTAAGTTATTTTAAACTGTATACATTTGTCATCAGAATTACGTTAAATTTTTTCCCCTATAGATAAGGCATTCTTCATATCCTTTATAACCCTAGTATCTTTTCCTAATAAGTCGGATAAATGTCAGTTTCAATTCTAGAAAGTTCACACGATGGTGTAGTTTTTTCCCACTTCAGGTTAATTTTGTGGATATTTCAGAAACCCATAGCATTTCAGTTTTTTATTTCAGACACAGGGTCTCACTCTGTTGCCTGAGATAGGGTGCAGGGTGTGATTATAGCTCACTGCAGCCTCACGCTCCTGGCTCGAGTGATCCTCCTGAGTCAGCCTCCTAAGCCTCCCAAGTAGCTGGAATCACAGGCACACACCACCGTGCCTGGCTAATTTTTCTATTTTTAGTAGAGACGGGGTCTCACTCTTGCTCAGGCTGGTCTCGAACTCCTGAGCTCAAGAGATCCTCCTGCCTCAGCCTCCCAAAGAGCTAGGATTACAGGCGTGAGCCACTGGCCCAGCCCCATTTCAGTTATTTTTCTTTCTGTAGTTACTTAATTGAAACAGATACATAAAGCAGATTAATCATAGAAAGTATTGCTTTCACATTGAACAAAAAAACAACCACTAAAAACAGGTATTTAAATTAGATTTTTTAAAAGTCTATTTTGGATATTTTTCCTTTTAACAAATTAGTATAACTTGAATTAAAAGTACTGTACACATTTTAAATTCTTAACACATAGGGGAGGAAAACAGTGTCTTCTGGCTAAATCCTGTGGTTATATCTCATTGTCAGTTCCTTAATTGCTCTCTGGATTACTGACACAGTTTCTAATTCCTTCCCTCGCCTTTCTCCTGCAGTTCGTGCTGCACATGTTTTTGGATCTGTTGGCATCATGCCATTTTCCCTAACCCAAGTGTCTGTGGTGGCTCTCAAATGCCTACAAAAAAGACTAGATTATTCAGCTGAGTCTTGTATTCTCTATAGTTGACTATAACCTGCGTTTCCAATTCAGTTGTTCAGTACAACTCAGAATGCATAATGCTCCCTGAACAGGCCACTGTCTTCTTTCACTCCATACCAGTTTCTGCTTGTGGGCTTGCCCGAATGCCTCGCCCTGTGCCCTGCTCGCTACCAAGCAAGGCCCTACACATTCTTCAAGAACTAACTGGAGTCCTCTTTTTTTTTTTCCCCTTTGTTTTTTTAGAGACAGGATCTCACTCTGTCACCCAGGCTGGAGTGCAGTGACCTGATCATAGCTCACTGAAGCCTCGAACTCCTCGGCTCAAGCAATCCTCCTGCCTCAGCCTCCCAAGCAGGTGGGAGTACAGGTGTGCAGTGTGCCTGACTAATTTTTAAATTTTGTTTTTTGTAGAGATGGGTGACTTGCTATGTTGCTCAGCCTCATCTTGAATTCCTGGGCTCAAGCCATCCTCCTGCCTCTGCTTCCCAGACAGTGCTCAGATTACAGGCATGAGCCATCTCACCCAGCTGGAGTCCTCTTTCTTCCAGGCTTTGTTGAAAACTCCAGAAACCACTCCAAACTTTTCTCCCTCATCTTCCCAGATTTTCTTGTCTCTACCACTCAGTGAAGCACTTAACTGTTTTCTAGATGTTCTATGGCTCTTTTTTTGTTTTTTGAGACAGTCTCACTATGTTGCCCAGGCTGGAGTGAGTGCCGTGGCGTCAGCCTAGCTCACAGCAACCTCAAACTCCTGGGCTCAAGCAATCCTTCTGCCTCAGCCTCCTGAGTAACTGGGACTACAGGCATGCGCCACCATGC